GGGGGCCCCCACCCTGAACCGAGCACAGACCGGGAAAGGAGCGTGACGGAGGCAATCATCACCCGGCAGCAAGATTGAAGCACGGGGCCCGTGCAGGGCCGGGAAGAGAGGGGGAGGAGGGGGAGAAAAAAAGGCTGGGGGGAGGGTGGGGGCGGGAAGCGAGGTGCGGCGGGCGATGATGGCTGCTCCACACACCTCGTTGGGCGAGAGCAAGGGCATGAGCGGCGCCGTTGATTGCACGGCGGGTGCGGCGCCGCTGTGGAGGGCAGGCGCCGGCGAGACGGGTGCGGCGCCGCTGTGGAGGGCAGGCGCCGGCGAGACGAGCGCAACGGCAAGGCCGGTGCAGATCAGGAGCGACATGGCTCTCACAACGACGAGGGAGGTGATGGCCCCGTCCACACACTGCGATATGGGGCCCGCCAACAAGACCGGCGCGGCGTTTTTCTTCTTTTCAGAAGTCTGCTGCGGAGTAAGGAAACAACGGTATGGGAGGTGGAGTGCTCTCTACTGCAGCGGCGCCCATGTCGGTGCGAAGGCGCCCGGCGGCCGCGCGCTTGGTGCCCACGTCGACCGGCTGCTCTCACGGCGCCGAGGCGTACCGCTTCGGTCATGTCTCGCGCGCTGCGAGGTTCCTTTTGCATGTGAGCGCTGGCTAGAGACGCCAGGAAGCTCGCCTTCCTTGCCTGCGGCCGCGGGCGTGCGGGCGGGCCCGCCAGGCTCGGCGAAGCTCGGAGCGGGTCTTCGAGCTCGCTGCCGGCGACGAGCCAGCATGGCTCGTCGCTCGACGGCAGCCTGCCCGGTATCCTCTCGGCATTCTGTACAGCCTCGCCAAGCTCTCTGGGAAGGTCCGCAGGGCCAGGGCGGGCCGTATCGGGAGCGATGGCGCGCTCAGAGTACCATGCCTACGAGCTCTCCGATCGGGTCGCCAGCAGCGGGCTTGCGCGGCGCGCCGCTCGACGGCAGGCTGGTCACCACCCTTTCAACAGTGTCTTCTGCCTCGCTTCTCTCGCTGCAACCGCCTCCGGGGGCCGGCGCCGGCCGCCTCGCTTCGCCAGCGCTGCTACGCCTACGACACGCGCGTCGGCTCGCCGCCGCGTCGCCTGCGGCGGGCCCGCGTGGCGCGCCGCTCGTCGGGAGCGTGGTCAGCAGGCTGTGCAGCGCAGCCTGACTCGCTCAGAGCGCCGCTGATGCGGCGCGGAGCCGCGGTCGGCGCTGCTGCCGCGCACGCTGGATGGGTTCGTCGTTTGCAAGCCTCACACGTTACCTCCGTTGCAAGCGTCGTTGCAAGGGAAATATTTTTTGCTGCTCTAGCCTCACACGTTACCCGCTGTCGCCTGTGCTAGGACAACAAGGCCGTGCTAAGACAACAAGGCTACACGATACACGGCGTCTCCACACTAGGCGACTCACACATAAGTTGTACCAGGTGGCAGGTGGCGGGAAATCAGGGCCGCACTACTACGCCGTCTCTCGTTTGTTGTGTGTTAGACCGTAGACGACGCCTCCATTTGCTTCCACTTGCCCGCGGCTCGTGACGAAGAAGTGCAAGTCCAGATGGGGTACATTTTTTTGAACCCCCCCTTCTCTGTATCTTCCCGGCCCGCTTCAATTTCTTGATCAATTCGAAGTTCGTGTTTGCGGCCGCGCGAATGGAATGGACAACCTCCGCTTGCCTGCTGCTGCCCGCCCAATACACGCCAGCGACGAAGCGGTCGCAGCCACCCTGCACCGCATGCAGCGACGCGCCTCTGTCTGGAGCGAGTGCCTCCCTCGATTGCCAGCCAACAGCACGCATTGTCACCGCCGGGGTCGGCACCTGCTCCACAATTCGCATGGCGCTGTCCCACGACTGGCCAAGGACCGTCCCCCTCATCCCGAGAGCCCGCTCTACGACGAGGTTCTCTTCTGCCCGCGCCGCCGTGTGGCTTTCATCCACATCTTCAAGTCTGCGGGCACGACGATTGTCCACGCCCTGAAATCCATGTGCAGGAATTGGGTGCTGGTGTGCCCGTGGCACTTGTATTGCCGTCAAACCCTGGACGCTGCCCACGGCACGGTTGGCGAGTATGCCTACTTCACCTTTGTCCGCGACCCAGTTGCACGCTTCACCAGCGGCGTCCTTGAAGCGGCGCTGCGGAAGAACCTCAAAGTGATTCAAGCCGGCGTGCCGGCAGGGGCTGCTGCAAACACGGCAGAAAACGCAGATGCAATCGCCCGGCGGATCCTCACCGCGTGCGTCGCCAGTCCGCGCTTGTGCGATGCACATCTCGAGCCCCAGCTCTCCTTCCTCGCGACTCTTCCCTTTCCCAGAGGGCGCCCCAAGCCCGTGAAGCTCGACTATCTCGGCTCAGTTGAGCACATTGAGATTGAGCTGCCGGCCATTGTCCAACGCTTCTTTGGCACAGCAGCGGCCGCCAATGTCTCGAGCATGCTGCAGACTTCACACAGAGTGCGCTCTGAGACAAAACAAGAGCAAGTTCGTCGACTGCTTGGCCGTCTTTCTGGTGTCCGCTACAATCAGAATGTGTCGCAGATCACATCGTTTGTGTTCACGCCTGATGATCTGTTGCCGCCTACGATTGCCATGATCCGGCGCGCGTACGGATCGGACGTAGAGTGTTTGCAACTTAATCGATAGTGCGCACGGAGTGAAAGAGCATCTTTTTCCCGCCTGAACACGCTATGTTCAGTCTTCAGCGTTTGTCTCTTGTCTGTCGCTTTGTGTTTGTGTCTTGAGGTTGTCAGCAAAGAAGATGCTATTTATTGCCACACTCTACCAATTAACGGGGCTAAGCCCATCCGACCCCCCGGGACCCACTTACTGAGCACACTGTAGTAGTTATGGCTGGCGACCCCGCGGCCCGCCGGATGAGGCTGCCGCACCACGCAGTTCTAAGGACTAAGCCATTCTAGCACTTCTAAGCCGGCCGACCACCGCCCGAGCCACCGTGCCCCCAGCCGACGTGCTCCCACCACCAATCCTCCGTCGCGCCGTCCCGTATTCATCGCCAGGCCAGCTGTGCCGACGCGGACCAGGTCGACGACTCGGCCGCAGCGCCGTCGCCCACAAAGGAGGTGCCGCCCTGCAATCCGTCCGCACCGTCGAGGGAGCGGCTCGTGTCGAACCCCTCCGCGGCAGCGACCAAGGCGTCCGGGCGCGAGTTCGCGTCGGCCCATTTGAGGTACGCGCTGAAGTACGGCTCGATGGGCTGCCTCTCATTGTCCACGATCTGGTCCGAGCAGAGCAGGCGCGGGTGTGAGCAGAGGAGGATCCAGGTCCAGGGGCAGGGTGGGGCCAACTCGATTAAATCTCAGCCGCTCGTGGGCTGTCTGCGGACAGATCACCAACACATCTCCAGGTCACAGCTTCAAGCGACCTCGTACGCATAGTACACGAAATCGCCCAGCGCCTTTGACAGGCCGGGGATGAGCTGCAGGACCCGGCTATCGCGGCGCCACTTTGCGCACCGCACGACCTCAGCGGTTGAGGAGTTGGCCCTTGGCGGGCATGCGCCAGCGGCAGGGTGTTGGAGGGTCATCGTGAAGCTGACGGCCGCAGTGGGCACACGGAACGTGAGGCCAAACGGCAGCTTGAGGTGCGGGTAGATCTGGCAGGACTCGAAGTCGTCGCTAAACACAAAATCGTAGTGGGAGAAGGTCGACTCGGCCTCGCGAAAAAAGCTCATACCCTCCCTGATCGGACAAGGCCGGTTGGTGAGGAGGCGCCGTTCAGATGGCGGCGACGAGGGTGCGGGATTGGCCTGGTGTTCTGCCACTGCCACGCTCTTCCAAGGATGCTCACACTCACGGTGCGCGTCGCCGGGTCGAAGCGATGATAGTCGGTGTCGCCCATCGAGATGGCCAAGTCCGGCGCGCTGACGCCGGCTGGTATGCTCGACTCTCCAAAAGCGCCCGTTTGGTCGAGCCAGAGCATCCCTTGCAGTGCGGCAGGGTAGTCAGCCGGCGCCACTGGGAGGACATTCTGCACGTCGTTGTTCCTCAAGAAGGACGGCATGTGCGCGGCGGCAGAGGTCGAGGTTAGCGCGGCGGCGAGTAGCATATGCACAACGTACACGGCTTCCAGGAGGTGGGAGCTCGAGGCTAGGAGGCCCTTGAGTCGACTTGAGGACTGGGTCAACGTACACGGCTTCCAGGAGGTGGGAGCTCGACTAGGAGGCCCTTGAGTCGACTTGAGGTAAGGGCGTACGCCCTTTCGCCCTTAGAGTACTTGAGGACTGGGTTTTTCGGCCCCTTGTTTTTCGGCCCCTTGACTGCAGCTGGCAGAAAATAATCGCTGACAAGAAGAAAGAGTCTAACAGCGCTTAAGAGATTAACTCATCACGCCGCGTCTCTCGAACGCGCGCGGCGCGAGCGTCGCCCCACGGCAGAGGGGACACTTGCGCACCGCGCCGACGACCGTGAGTGTCCCCTGGATGCCGAGCATGCACTCCTTGTGGACCTCGAATAGAAAGAAAGAAGAGACAGAATGCGGTAGGAAAATAAAAAGAAAAAATTGGTCGGCGGGCACGTCGCGCCGCATGGTGGCCGCGCTGCGCCGCTCGCCGCTGGCGCGCGGTTGATCGCGGCGCCGACTCCGCGGCGGCGCCATCTCACGCAGCGGGGCGCGTCGCGTCGTCGGCGCCAAAACAGACGCGAGCTCGCGGCGCGGCCGCGGCAGCAAAAACATCAGCCGTCTACTTCTCCTTCTCTTCTCGTCTCGTCTCGTCTTGTCGCAGGCGCACACGCGCGCGACGTGCGCTCGTATCGCCGCGTTCGCTCCGCGAAGGACGACTCGAACCGGGAGCCAGTCGGCGCAGCGGCGGCACGCGGCGGCAAAACGCACGACGCTCACCTCATGGAGATGCTGCGGCTTCGGCACCTCCTGATATAATGCTGATTTTTTGCTGAGCGGGGCGGAGGCACGCGGGCGGCGGAGGCGGCGGCGGACGACGTCTACTTCCCCTGTGGTAGCTTAGCGATCAGGGAGGATCTACCTGTTCGGCCTCGAGGAAGCTGCTGGGGGAGAGGGGGGGAGAGAGGAGAGGAGGAGAGGGGAGAGGATGAGAAGAGGAGAGGAGAGGAGAGAGGAGGAGAGAGGAGAGAGGAGGAGGGGGAGAGGAGAGAAGAGGTGGGGGGTGAGAGGGAGGGAGGGAGGGAGGGAGGGAGGGAGGAGAGAGAGAGATGAGAGCCTTTGAGCCTTGGCACCAGCCAGGCAGTTGATTTGGCCCTGGCACCAGCCTTGGCAGTTGAGTTGGCCTTGGCACCAGCCTTGGCGGGCGGGCACGCGGGACATGCACGGGCGCCAAGGGGCGCGGCGCCGACAATCACGGCGGTGATTGCGGCGCAGGTGGGGGGACGGGAAGTCCGTCGGCGTTGCCGGGGGCCCAAGGAAGCGCGAGGGAAAAATTCCGCCGCTGAGGGCGCTCGTGCGGCAATAGCCGGGTGGAGGGGGGAGCGTGCCGGACGGGGCGTCGTCGCGCCGTCCGATGGTCTGCTGCCCCGCGCAGCAACCGTCGGGCGACGACCCGGGGGCCAAAAACCCGGCGACGACGGCGCTCTGGATGGGGCGTGACCTCCTGCCTCCAACCTCCTTCCTTTTTGAGCAGGTGTGACGCCGCGCGAGCGACGCTCCGAGATCGCCCGAGATAGCGCGCGGCGCGGCCCCGAGATCGCCCGAGATTGCGCGAGATCGCCCGAGATCGCGCGGCGCGGCCCGAGGCGAGGTGGATGGGCTGGGAGCGAGGGGGCGGAAGTGCTCAGTGCGGTAGATGGTCAGCTCGAGGCGCGTGAGCCGGACTTGTGAGCCGGACCACCCCCTCTTGAACCCTGCGTTGTTGAGCCAGGACTCAACATACTCGGGCTGTCGCCGTCCCAAACTGTCACTCCCCTCTCTCCCGGCCGGGGTGGGGCGCGCGCGGGGGCGGCGGGTGTGCGGGATGTCTGTGGGGCCGAGAGTGATATGCCATGTCCCGCCTTGCTTTGTTTCCTAACATCGAAGGCTAAGCTCAAAAAGAAAAAACGTGGGAGCTGCACATGCACATGTGGTCGTCGGTTCGGGAGTCGCTGCAGGGGGCTGCTGGAGGCGACCCGACTTACAGTCGTCGCAGCAAATCACGCGGGTCGGCTCGCTGAACGGACGAGGCTGTATGCGCAGGTGACAGCAAAGCAGCAGCGAATTGCGCTGATCAAGCAGAGCTGGGGTTCAGACTCGTACGACGCCATGGATGCGGGCGACATCGCGACGGTCGCGACCAACTTTCACCGCGCAAAGGCAGAGATCCAGCGGATCGAAGAGGAGATCGAGGCCAAGCTGATCGAGATCGCGGCCCTTGACGCCGCGCCGGCGCAGTCGGCCGAGACTGCCGTGCAGCAGCTCCCGTCGTCGTATTCCGTGGATGCGTGGCCCGGCGGCGGTGCGGCGGAGGCCCGCATTCAGGAGGCCGTGCCCGCAATGCCTGTCGTCACTGCAGTGCCTGGCGTCATGATCGGCACCGCAGTCTCTGCGATACCCGAGGCGCTGCCTAGGGCGCTGCCTGCCCGAGCCAAGCCAGAGGAAGGTGTGGCTGAGAGCTCAGAGGATGAAGGTGGGGTGTAGTCACGTTTCACATACTTTGAAGAACAAAAGGGGCAAGCACCCAGCTTGCCCGGTGCGGTTGCACGGCTTTACGTACTCGCTCTCGCGGCTCTCTGGTCTCTCGGGTCTCGGCTTACGGCTATCTTTTGATCGGCATCCTTGTGTATGTGACCTTCGAATGTGACCTGTTTTCGTCACGCCGGATCACAGCGACACGGGACCACGAGTCAAGAGAGAGATTTTCACCTGCTCTGAGAAGAGAACCAGGGCGGGGTGGTGTGGAGAGAGAGCCACTAGTAGAGTGCGCACTACGGCTTTAGGGAGAGCGAGAGGGTGGGAAAAGTAACCCGTGAAACGCGAACGATCGTGGCTGCTGCACGAACGGCTGCGATTCAGCGGTCGTGCCGCTGAGCGTTCAGGTCGAGCTCGGCGAGCTGAGCAAGATCATCCAGTGGCAGTCAGTCAGTGCGCAGTGGCGCGACAGCTGGAATCGACAACAAACAAACGTCTCGTAAAGATCAGCTACCAGGGGCTCCAGGCCCCAAATGATGTGTGAGTGTTAGAGTTGTTTGGTATTGCTCTCGTAAAAATCTCTCTCTGAATCGCAAGCGTTGAGGAACGGCGAACGCGAGAAGATCGCGTTTCGCGTTTCAGGTCCTTCAAAGGTAAGCTCGCCCCGACCGAGTCTCCAGCCGAGCCGGTGGCCGACAGACATCTGTCTGCACATACATATCACCGGCCTCATCGATCGATCGACGAGGCCATCCATGGCGGGGTCCAGCAACTCGAGAAGAGAAGATTCCAGAGTATCGACCTCTGGCTTGTCAGTCGCGGTCAGACACTTGATGACCCCCATGAAGTACAGCGATCGCCACCTCGCTGGCCTCTCCGCAAGGCCCCCCGACCGCGTCGAACTCATCGGCGCGGGCTCTCTCGGCTACGGGACCGGCCCCAGCTTCGGCTGAGGGCAGACAAGCTGCCGAGCCCAAATCACTGTGAGAGTCGTGATTTCTTGTTGGGTTTCAAAAATCTCTCTCTCTCTCGCAACTCGCCCTGAGCGTTTCCTCTTTCAACGAAGGCCCCTCTACGCTCCATCCAGCAACGGTGGACCCTTTCTTTGCAAAAACCCGGTCACCGTATATGGAGCAGCAAGCAGGGCCAGGTAAGCATCTAGCTTGCTTGCTTGCCGTCACCTCGCCCGCTGACTGACGACCGACTCGGGTGGTGTGCGTGTTCTGTCTGTTTAGGGCCTTTTGCGGGTCCTTGCGCTCCGGGAGAGCCTTCCGCGTCGTCATTGGTGTTCCGTGTCTGAGATTTTTAGCAATACCAAACAACTCTAACACTCACACGTGTTTTGTCGTGTCTGACGCTCGCAAGTTCTTTTTTAGAGGATGGGGAAAATGTCTCGCCCTCCCTCGCTGGTGTGTTCATTGGGGGGTCATAAACAACAAACATCATCCAGTCAGTGGCGGTGGCGCGACAGCTGAATCGCAAGCCGGTTGAGGAAAGAGAAGATCGGTGGCGTTTCAGGCACTTCCTCACCGCGATTGGTACCACCCTCCCTAGTAAGACATAAAAAGAAAATCCCAGAGGCACGGGACTGGCGCGCAGAGGCACTCACACGAAAAAAAGAACTCCCGCCATGCCGCGCCCTATCACTGACGAGGCGTAGCATGGCAACAGCGGCTCCCGCCGGCCTGAGGGAGGCGAGCAGCGCCCAGTCGGGCCGCTCGATGCCGAGGAAGACGCCCGGCTGCCGTACAGGTTGCCACGACGAGGTCGAGCACGCTTCTATACGCTCGCCCAGCCTTCCTTTCCATCCCATTAGACAGCCAGGGGTGGTGGAACCACATGTCACGGCTACTGGGCTCGACCCCCCACGATAGCCTCCGAAGGCTGACTTTGCGGCACCATCATCGGACGATGTCGACGAATTGGGTCGCTCTCGCGGTAGCCAGATGACCTCTCATACTAGGAGCATCGGCCATGGCCGCAGGGAGCGCGGGGGAGGGCACTGGGAGCAACACGGAGCTCCGTTGGACGTTTTCCGCAAAGATTTAGCGTGTCAGAGACAGAGTGAATTGGAACTAGTCAATAAAGCCTGTCCACCTACACTGGGGACACCGTGCGCACGACGGGGCAATCCTAGCGCAGGCCCCGCACGCGGCCCTGCTGCCCTCCCGTCGGCTGAAATCGACCAGGCCCATCGCCGTGGGCCCACCGGCGACTGCGGCGGCCCTAGCACCGGCCGATTGTTTGAGCGATGGCCTGTGCTGCGGCCGTCTCGGACGTTCAAGCGGCGCCAGCCAGCGGCTCGGCCGCGCATCCTTCACACACGCCGCCACGACCGGGATGAGAGGGCCCGGTGTCGAGCCATGGTGTGAGCTGCATGTGCGCGGCGGCCGTGGCGACAGCAGGTCCACCAGACGGACCTCAAAGCTTGCCGTCGGCGTGCTGTCGTGGCGAGAGCGCGAGACAGCTGCAGAGGAGCCGAGTGCAGTGGCGAGCCAGAGGCTACCTGGGTCACCAAGTGGTAGCCCTTGCCCATTCTGAGCAGGGCTGTGCTTTGTGGGGTTGTGCTTGAGCGTGTGTGAAGTGGGAGTGCGTGCCGGCGGTGTCTGTGGGTGAAACGGGCGTGTGTGAGGCCGTAAGAGCCATGGTATGAGCCAGAGTGGGCTTCATCACCCAAAATAAGGACGGTTTGGGACAGCTCAGACTTGATACTGATGGGCCTTGGCCAGGAGAGCGACAGAGAAGGCGAGGTGGTGAGCTGGGAAGCCGCTTTGTCTGCACCTGGACGTGTCGTGATGAACTGCCGAAAAGTACTATTTGCGGCTATTGCTCAAAACCTTTGGAGACAAGGCCTACATATTATGACTGCATCCATGCGTCTGGTGCATGAGGGCCGCGGGTCGGGACATATCACGGTCGGTGGCGCCGATAATGACCTCCGGAATGCCCTCGCAACCGCTCGGCAAGGGGTCCACCGGAGACAATCTCGAGCCCTCTCCGTGGCATCACGAGCCGGTGTGAGCTTGCAGACCCAAGGTAAGTGCGGTCTGGGACGGCTCAGGCGTGCTACTGATGGGCCTGGGCCAGGAGGGCGACAGAGAAGGCGAGGTGGTGAGCTGAGAGGCTGGAGCGTCCGCGTGTGACCTTGTCGCGAAGCACGTGCCACGAAGCGCTATTTCCTGCTCTCAGGTCACCACCTCGCCTTCTCTGTCGCTCTCCTGGCCCAGGCCCATCAGTATCAAGCCTGAGCTGTCCCAGACCGCACTTATCTCGGGTCTTCAAGCTCACACCGGCTCGTGATGCTCCGGTGTAGGCGCTCGAGAGCACTCCCGGTGGCCTGTGCCGAGCGATTGTGAGGGCTTTACGGAGGTCATTGTCGGCGCCACCGACCGTGAAATGTCCCGATCCACAGCCCTCATGCACCAGACGCATGGATGCAGTCATAATATGTAGGCCTTCTCTCCAAAGGTTTTGAGCAATAGCCGCAAAAGGTGCTTTTCGGCAGTTCATCGCGACACGTCCAGGTGCAGACAAAGCGGCTTCCCAGCTCACCACCTCGCCTTCTCTGTCTCTCTCCTGGCCAAGGCCCATCAGTATCAAGCCTGAGCTGTCCCAAACCGCCCTTATTTGGGGTGATGAAGCCCACTCTGGCTCATACCATGGCTCTTACGGCCTCACACACGCCTGTTTCACCCACAGAGCACAGACACCGCCGGCACGCACTCCCACTTCACACACGCTCAAGCACAACCCCACCAAAGCACAGCCCTGCTCAGAATGGGCAAGGGCTACCACTTGGTGACCCAGGTAGCCTCTGGCTCGCCACTGCACTCGGCTCCTCTGCAGCTGTCTCGCGCTCTCGCCACGACAGCACGCCGACGGCAAGCTTTGAGGTCCGTCTGGTGGACCTGCTGTCGCCACGGCCGCCGCGCACATGCAGCTCACACCATGGCTCGACACCGGGCCCTCTCATCCCGGTCGTGGCGGCGTGTGTGAAGGATGCGCGGCCGAGCCGCTGGCTGGCGCCGCTTGAACGTCCGAGACGGACGCAGCACAGGCCACGCGTCGCGCCGCCGGCCAAGCCCAGCCTCTCGGCGGACCCCGGCCGTGCCAGAGGCAGCCCAGGTGGCGCGTGGGGCCGCGGCTCGGCCGACCACCTGTAACGGCCACACCCCTGTGAAGAGAGCTTGGATTGCCCCTCGACCCGCACGCGAAGTCCCACTTTGGCATGCTCGTGCTCGTCGCCATCGTCGTCTTTTTTGCTCATTCTTCTTGCGCGTCCCAGCGGCCCTAGTGCCACCAGCAAGCAGCCGGCTGCATGGGGCGAGAGGGTGCGTTTGAACGGCCTTTTCAAAGGTGTGAAAAACAGGTGGACAGGCTTTATACGGCACAACAATAGAGACCACTCGCGCGCTATAAAGGCTAAAAGTCATGACTTGCCGCGACAACGCTGTACCCCGTGCGCCGCTCCAGCGTGCGTCTCCACGTCTCCCAGACAGGGCCCGAGCTCGTGTCTTCTGAGAGGTTCGACTTTGGCACGAGCATCGTGCACGCGGGAAAGACGGCGTGCAGCGCAACGGGCGCGTTTCGACGCAAGTCGCACCCCCCGTGCCATGCCGGCGCCTTGGCCAGCTGCGCCCTCACGTTCGCGATGGGAATGCGCGTCGTCGTCGACTCGTTACAAAGGAGCGGTCCGACAATGCGGCACAGCTGGCGACGTCGGCCAGGAAAGAGCCGTGCGCCAGCGGGCAGATCGCGACGGGGAGCCTTCAGCTCGTAGTACTGCTGCAGCACACGAAGGCGAGCTCGAAAGCGCGAGTCGGCGGGGCCAATTGCTTCCTTGAAGCGCTGCGACGCCGCGCGGTAGAGTGCCGCGTCGCACCGCGTCGTACGTTGCAGCGCCATGCGCGTCTCCGCCGGCAGCGAGGCGAGCTTATGAGCCGTCGCATTGCCCGGAGCAGGCCCGTCGGTGCGGGCGTGAGCGCCAACGTCGGATGGCTCGAAGCGGAAGCCGCTTTGGTCGCTCACACGCAGCAGTGTCGCCAGCCACTCCTCCGTCAGCCCGACCACCTCATAGGTCGCGAGCTCCGTGCGGGCCTGCACACTTTCAAGAGTTGAGGTGAGCTTAGCCAATATACCCGGCAGCGGCGATCGCGCATCTATATAATAGCGTCGAAGGGTGCTACAGTCACATCATGACGCTTCTCGCGCTGCGGGGGGCCTGCGAAAGCATCGCGCGGTCGGCATCGCACCCGCTCGACCGCCACTTCGCCTCCCGCTTAATCCGCGACTTTTGCCGTCTCTGGAAGCCCGCCACCCTCGCCTTCAGCGTCTGCCCGGCGTCGCTTTCTGCGGCGGCGTCTTCTGCTGTGGCAGCGTCGCCCGCCACCCGCACGGTGAAGAACTCGCGCGTCCAGGCAGCCTCCTGCCGGTCCTGCAGGAAGGCGTCGAGCTCCTGGCGGCCCTTTTTGAAATGCTGCCAGAAGGAGAAGACGAAGGCGACGGGCTCGCGCAGCAGGGTGAAGAGGGTGAAGCTGCAGCCCAGCCGCCGATAGAGGGCCCGCAGCTGCGGCACGGCTGGGCGGAAGGAATACCACGGGTGGCCCGCGTGGAATTCAAGGATGGCCCGGTGCCTGGCCAGCGGCATCGACGCGGCTGCACACGCGGGCGCAACGGGTGCCGGCGCGCGCAAGCCGCATAGTCGGTCGAGCTCAGCGCCGTGGTGTAGGCACCAGTGGCCGTAAAGGGCCTCGCGCTCACAGTCATCCCCCAAGAAGAGCCAGCGCTCTGCTGCCGGCGCGGCGGCCTGGGTTTTGGCGAAGAGCTCGCGGAAGGCTGTGCCGCCCGTCGCCTCGTAGTGGCGGTGAACTATCAGGCCGCAAGTGGCGGGCGCCGTTGCAAAGATGTGCATCGGAGGCGGAAGCGAGAGGCTGGGGGCCGAGAGGCCGATTGCTGACATGGATGCGTTTGTACTGCGTTTGTACTATCTTACGTGAGAGAGAGACAAAGGGATGCGTAAGTACTTATCGGCGGGCGGATCCGTTTTTCTCTTCTTGTCCGGCGCACGCAGACAGCCTGTTCCTGGCTCGTGCCCAGCCTCTCCTCCAGCTGCCGCTGGCCTCGCAGTCCCGCCTGCCATCACGCTGCAGAGCCTGCGTAGACGCCACAGACGCCATTCCCCATTCTTTCTGCAGCCCACAGCCCTGGCAACTAGCTAGCCAGCCAGAGAGAGAGAGAGAGATTTCACCTCCACCTGGCAACCCTGTCTGCGCGTCTCGCGCGCGCGTGAACAGGGCGAGGGAGGTTGACATCGTGACTTATACGGGACTGCGCCTGCCCCACCGCGCAATAATCAAAAGACGCGGAACCCCCCACACCCTTCTCGGATACTTGTGACAGGGTCTGTGTACGGTAGTCGTTACTGTGAGTGATTGGCTTGAGAGGTCGAGCTCGGCGAGCTGAGCAAGATCATCCAGTGGCAGTCAGTCAGTGCCGCAGTGGCGCGACAGTGGCGCGACAGCTGGAATCGACAACAAACAAACGTCTCGCGCGCGCGTGAGCAGGGCCCACCATAAAGATCAGTTACCAGGGGCTCCAGGCCCCATGCAAATGATGTGTGAGTGTTAGAGTTCACATTGGGCTAAACCCCACCTGGCTTCCTCCCACTAAATACAAAGGCCCGGCGACAAGTTCTCTCGAAGCGCAGAAAGGCGGCCAACCTCCTCTCCCATCTGGCGCTTGCGTCGGGCAGCGTGGGCGCGGCATCCGGGACGGATGCAGGCCGTTGTCTCGCGGGATCGCTGGGAGCCGCTCGGCTCCCCACGCGCCGCCGAGCTGCGATGGCGCCACCGCAACGGCTGCCCCTCCTCGGCTCCCGCCCCGGGGCTGCCGAAATAGGTGCCCCGAGCCACCGTTTGCAACATCCGCGCGGAACGGCGGCGCTGCCGACGCCCCCCCGACCGGCAAACACCACCAGAAGGGCGGTGGTGAACGCTCCACCTCAGAAATGTCGTCGTCGTCGCGCAGTTCCCTTAAGTGACGTTCGGCGCCCGGCGCGGCTGGCGGCCAATAGACCGGATTTTCGCCTCTCGACGCGAAGATATGGTCCCGAGTCTCACTACTCGCCCCTCCATCCTGTAGGTCCGGACCTTGCCTGCTCAGTAGCCGCGATGAATCGTCGCCCTCATCGTCCGCGGTCATCCTTTCAGCCTCAAACTGGCCAAACGACAGTCTCGCCATCACCCATCTCGCCTCTCGCGATCGCGTCACGCCTTCCCTTGTGCCGCGAGTAGGCGTGTGAGTGATGGCCCTGCCGCCAGGTACACGGCTACACCTCGGGACGCCGTGCTGAGACGGGTAGAGCCGCCCCGCGGGAGCGAAAGCCGCCTCGCGCGCCTCAGCCCGCCGGGCCCCTCGGCGGCAAGTGTGGGGTTGATACGGCGGTGATAACCCCCCTGACAGCAGCGCCTCACGGCGTGGGCTGCGAGGTCACTCGGGGTGACCCAGGGGGCGGCGGGGGACACTCTCCCGCCGGAGCAGCGGTGATATTCCCGCTACTCGCTCGAGTTTGAGGTGCGCCGCGCCTCGCCTGTGTTGCCTTTCCCGGCCGCCCCAGCCGCCCTT